AGAGAGAGAGAGAGAGAGAGAGAGAGAGAGAGAGAGAGCAACCAAAAGCAAGCTTCACATCAAAAACATGTGGTCCTGAGTACATGTTTTATTAGCAGAACAATACTAAAAACTTACTTCTAGTAGCAGTAGTAGTAGCCATTGTTGCAGAGAAGCCTCAATGTGAAATTGTTGAGAGAGATGCTCCCTATGTTTTCTTTGAGAGAGCAATGACATTGAAATTCAAAGAGCCAGGATTCTTCTCAATGAATTCTTTTATAACCTTTGCGGCGTCCTGCAATTCAAAGAACACGTTTTGCAATACTTTGCAAATTTAGCAAAGCAAGATAAAAGAAACAACATGAAGAAAAATGCACAGATTTTGGTGAGAAATTGAGAAATAATCCAGAGACAACTGAAAAGAATGATATCTAAAATTAAATGAAATAATCCAGAGACGAACTGAAAAGAATGATATCTAAAATTAAAAGAAATAATCCAGAGACAAAATAAAAACAATGAGATGAAAAATGGAATGAAATTACCTCGAGCAAAGTGTTGGGTGATGATGGACCATGCAACACAGTCTGAGACTTCCTCCCATCAAGCTCATAAAGTCCTCCTAAATTAACATAGCCATGACAAGACTCAGATTAATTATTACATCAAATAAAAAGTGGATTTACAAATCTCTCTCTCTCTCTCTCTCTCTCTCAAACACACACACAAGCCTGCATATTCTTTACACTAAGCCCTAATGGGGAACCAATTTGAATGCCAACCAGCCCTCTCTCTCTCTGTCTATCAGTGTGTGTATGTGAAAAAGATAATATAAGCCAAAGCCAACACACTTAGCATAACCCACTTAAGAGAAGTAGGGATTCATAGGACTCCAAAATTTGCACTTATGTAGAATAAAAGAAAAAAATTTAATTCAGACAAAAAAGGGAAAATTAATCTGCCATTTTGATTAACACATAAGGTCCATTAAATGGATGGTAGATCCAAGCATTCAAGATGTCAAAACCTTGTTATGGAAGTTGTTTATTTTCGAGTCAAGAATGTGCAGAATTTCAGCCCAATATAAAATCTTGCTAGCTTTGTGTTCTGAATCTCTGCTTCCACCATAGCTACAAGACAATCCAAGCCCATTGGCTTATAGCTCTAGTGCAAGCACATAGAGAGAGAGAGAGAGAGAGAGAGAGAGAGAGAGAGAGAGCACCAACCATAAACAATTTGAATGTCATTTAGTTCCCCACGTGCTTCTTCAAAAAAACCTTACTCTCTCTCACAAAACCCCCCTCCTCTCTCTCTCCATTCAAGACAAAAATAATACAAACGAATTACATGAATGAAATCAACACCCAGACATATGACAAACAAAATAAATATGAATTAAATGCATCAATTAAATAATAAACAACGAAACATGACTCATACCATTCACGCACGTGAAGCATATGAAATGAGTGTCAACATTGGTGTTCACATCTGGGGCCTGAGAGATACACAACACACAATACGCATTACGATATCAAAAGAATTTATAGTTAAGGGAAAGCATACCACACACCAATAGTGCATCGGTAACATGGTACACAAATGGAACATCCACCATCCATTTCTAAAATGGGTGGTGGAGACGAATCATGCTGAGTTGAGTGTTAATTATCGGACTATGGTTGATCTGCATCGTCCATTTAAGGTAAAGTGGGTGGTAGACCATACACCAATAGGCATATGCCGTTGTTGTATAACATATGTCCTCCAACTAGGCAATTGATCAAATGGCGCATTAACATGACATAAACCATAAAGAAAGACCAAAATGAACCCCTATTATCTAACCCACTCAAGCCTTCAACCAATATAATGAAAAAAGAAAAATGAACACAGAGAATAGGGTTGAACAAATGTTTTGAAACCACTGTTTGAAAACTCTCTCTCTCTCTCTCTCTCACACACACACACACACACACACATACATGCGCAAAATAATATACAACATTTTACACTCACATTAAAAGTAGGAACTGATTTCTCACCTCTGTGTCCCCAGCAGTAGCTGCTACACTGTGTGCAGCTTCCATTTCCGTGTCCTTCTCAAGAAAATTTGCACGCTATAGAGCAACCAAAAAGAATAATTTTAACTATTACGAGGGAGATTAATAATCAGCCGGCAAACATATTTCGAACTAAGTATGGCTAATCCAACAAAAAGCAACATGAAATTGTGGAGGACCTCCAATGGATCCATGTTTGCCGTTGCTTTAAAGAACTTGTCCAAGTAAGACCCCTCGACTGTCACGAAGAGAAAATATAAAAAATATAAGAGAAGAGTACCATTTAAGTTATCAGAAGAAAATTAAATAATCATAATATGATAAATGTTCAAGTTAGAAGTGGTACAAGCTTGAGCTCTTTAGTGTTCAAGGCATAAACAGTTCAGAGCTCGAACAAATGTTCACTTCACAGATAGCAAAGCGCATAACTTTTTTCCATATCTATAGGTCACTCACCAAGGACATAACAAGCAACACTGAAGTTTTGAATACCCCTTGTGTATGTTCATCATGATAAGGAGGCAAAAATTTTTTTAAAAGGAAAATAAGAGAATAAGACCGTTTACTTTTAGTACGAGGTCACTGTGCCCCGCAGCATTACATGTGAAACTAGGCGGTTAAGGGCATGGCATGCTACTGACCGCTCTCAACATCCACAAAAGATTTTTCTTGGACGTTGTGACACACTCCTAGCAGTCTGATTTTATATCTGAAAGCCTGGAGTGCTTGTGACCAATAAAAATTAAAAGGTCTTATGTATACAATCTATTTTTAGAAATAGACAAGGCATACACTTTGGGTTGCTTTCCAACCTGATTTCTCTTGATTTATGTAAATTTCATTATTATATCAACGAATAATGTTCATCATACACAAAAAAAAAAAAAAATCTTGTACTATGTAAACTGAGAATCAGTGATCAAATTATATGCTCCATAGGACTGGAGTAAAAGATTCCATTTCTTCCATAAATAACTGCATTAAAATCTCTAGAAAACATGCCTGTGATACTCCTGGTGCTAACTCATGGCTATTGAGACTGCTCATAGAGTCTAGAGCCATTGCAACAAATCTTGTTTTCTAAAATCTTTTGGTGATCTAAATTTTTGGGAAATTTTCAAAAATTTCTTGTTTTCCCTTAGCAAATTTGCTGATAAAATTTGAAAGGGAAAAACAAAAAAAGAAATCTAGAGAAACAAAGACCTTGATAGAAAAATAAAACCTTTGTTAACCTAGCTAACGAGGAAGGAAAAGCACCTAACTGATAATTTTCACTACTTGTCAGGATTCATAGCACCTAGGAAGTATTTATTCCAAACAAAGACAACCACCAAAAAGTGCCATTAATCACAAATCAAATTGGGAAATCAGTAGTTACTAATGTGGTTTAGACATCCAGTTAAGGCAAAACACCAGTTAAATATATTTTACTGCATTGCTTAGTAACGACAACTAGCAAGTAAAAAGTAATCTAGTCACTAGCAATTGGCAGAAGATAGATAACCATAAGAACAACTGTATTGTATTTAAAAATAATAATAAGTCAGATGGACTGAAAACTACCTTAACAAAAAAAAGAAAAAAGGAAAAAGAAGCATGCATTAGTGAAATTGTAATACCAATCAATGAACTGAAAATAAAGGCTTACTGAGCTTAATTTCAGAATGTACATTCCCCATAGCATGAAGAAGCCCAACAGTTCCACATGCATTGCCCACTGTTTGTCTCATAAAATATACTTCATCATTTCCCTCCTACATGCAAGAAAACACCTTTCACTACTAAAGAGAAGTCAAGAAGTCGAGGTAATCTATTATGTGAAAGAAGTAAGTGATCCCCTGGTTGAAATAGCAAAATGGGTAAATGACCATCCTTAATCATGCATAAAAAATATCTTGCACGAATGAAGAATAAAATTTCATTGGCAATGGACACCTCGAATCGCTCGTGGAATTGATAAACACTAACAGCCATCAAACAAGACCAACTTTCGCTGCTTGTTTCAAAATACACATTTACAGTCTTGGGTTACACAAAGTTTCAGTTTCTAAAAAAGAAAGTAAAGGTTACAAGATAGGTTTATGAAGGACATGAAAAACCTAGTTGTCAAAGATGCAGCAGTGGTGAACATTGAGGAATTGGTCCCAGCTAAGCGGTTCAAAACAATGTAAACTAACATCCAAACTTCTTTTAATTAAAGAGAATGTCATGCATTTTGACTCCATCATGTATTATTGTACATGCCCGTGTTGAAAATATCCTTATTCTACCTTCCCTTTCTCCAGAACTTCTTGTTCTTCCTCCAATTTTCTCTCAGCTTCACTCTACAAAATGTAAAATATCATTCAAGCTTCCAAAGAAAATAATTGAGGAAGAAAAGTAATGCTCATCCATAACTACCACAAACTTATTTAAAACAGATTGGAGTAGCTCCCTAAAGTACCATTTAAAAAAAAAGAAAGTAGATCCCTAAAGCAACCAATGGAAATCAATCAAATAATTGAGCAGTTCCATGTCAAAACCACACAGATCACACTTTCGTATATTATAAACTTCGGAAAACTAGCATAAATCCACCCACATCAAATAAAGACAGAATGTAACACAAAAAAAAATGAAATTTCCCAAATCATAAAGCTTATTATAGCATTTCAAGTCCATTAGCTTTCAAATGTGCATGGATTAGAAGTATGGAAACAAGGGAAATTTGACAAAAGTAACCAGAGGGTACAATTAACACTATTTTTGTTATTATTTTGCAAAACAAACTAGATATAACCTACTACACAGGAAACTAGCAACGTTAAAAAGTTCAACCATGAACGATAACTGACAATAGAGATTTAACTAAAGATACTCATATATAAGTTGGCATAGTTACTAAGGGAAATTCCCAAATGCATTAATTAGACATTGCAGCAAACAGTTCTCTTCAGAGTCCAAGTTACAAGCTCGGCGTACTTTTCAAGACCCTGAATTCCATAACAAAAAGCTAAATCAATGTTATTACCTCCAATTTGCTTTTGCTAAAGAGGTTGAAGGATTTGAGTGAGGCCTAAACGCAAAGCAAAGTTTGTTTCAAAACTTTCCACCTCAAGCATCAGCCCTCTTCTGCTGACCTTTCTATATTTTTTTCTAGATTTTGTGGCCATTATGGCTGCAAACTCCAGAGCAAAAAAATTTCCCTTAAGATAATTTTCACCCCCACTCTATTGGGTGGTTATAACTCTTTGTCTTCTTTCTTAATTCCTATGCTAAGATTAGTTACTCTAGTAACTTTAAGATTTCATAATCTTAATATGATCATCCCTAGTTAAAACTTTTGTGGTGGTTTCTGGTCAAACTTCCATTCAATAAAGATTTCAGAGATTAGTACAATTTTGGGCTAGTTTCTGTTATTATCACTCATCAGTTGGGAAATTCTAATGCTCATCTGATCGAAAAATTTTTATTTATCAGCATTCAATTATTTATCCGCATTTAAGATTTCTTTTGGCATAAGGACAGCTCAAGAGGCTGGCAATCCTAGTCCTATTCTCAAAAACCTTCAAAGTTCTTGTGGAATCTGACAGGTTACTGCTTGGAAAAAAAACTAAAAATAAGTCTCAGCACACCAAAATGTTGCAACTTCCACGCCAACGATGTTTTTGCATGAGGGGAAAAACCAAAATTTAAAATTTATGCAGATAAGATTTCTAGAAAACAATAAATAAACAGAGAAATTTAGAAATTTTGCCACATGGCCAAACCTTGGAGAGAAAATTGAGCTGAATTTCAGGAAAATTTGAGAATTAAAAAATGCATCCATGCGATTCAATGAATAAATAAACAGATAAAACACCAAAACAGGCAATATTGCTTAGAGTTTATGTGAAGGATGATCAAATTCGTCTGAAATTAAGGATATCATAAATAAATTATGGATTTTGGCCACTCCACCCATTTCATACTCAGCATCAAAATTAGCCAAAATGTATGACTCTCTGATTTGGGGAATAGCGCTCACCTCAGCTGTGATGGGGTATAGGAAAAGCACTGCCAGGACAGGCTTGGGCACCATTTCCAAGAGTTCTTCATCTAAACCATATACATCATAAAACTCTGCCTCTTCCTCTGGAAGACCAAGCCCCCATAGAAACTGAAAAAGATTGGGCGGGGGGGAAGCAACAAAAAAAAAAAAAGGAGACCATGTCCATAAAGAAATATCAGCATTGAACTACTAGATTATCTGCCATAGAAATTGCTTTTTATCACAACAAAAAAAAAGTTGTGAATCACTCCAAGAAGTGAAATTAATCTATCTCATCCATCAAATTTCTGACTGAATCATAATAAATTAAAAAGCATGCAATGTGAAACAGTAACATTCTGTTCCATACAATAAACCTAAAATTTTGTAAGAAAGGAAAAATAATAAGAGATTTAAAAAAATCCATCCACTGAAACACATAAGTGAAGTGTTATTCAACTAATACACCATTAAGATTCGCTGCTAACAATAGGTCAAGAAAATAAAAGTATCTTATTTTTTTTCCTTTTCACTGGATAAGCAATATGCCAATTATAATAATAGAAACAAAATGAGAAACCTCACAGTTTGGCAGATAAGATAGCATCCCATTGATGATTGAGTAGAAAAAAATTCGTGTGCAAAACATTTGATTATATCAGCGACACTATAGTACTCTAGAATTCAATGCATCCATTTCAACCGTCGCTTAAAATAGGATTCCGACGGCAACTCACAAGGGGTCCAAGCCCTATCCCCCATAGTCACGAGTTCGACTAGAAATATTCACCGAGAAAAATTTAAATTAACTGAAAAACAGGGAGAGTAAAGTGATTATGGTTTTCTTGGCCTGGAATCACCAGCATCCTGATCAGGTCTGACTCTTCTGAGTCGGACAGGAAATTTTACAAACACTTATTTCAACATGTGAACTTCTTATGCTATCATGAAAAGAAAGGAATAAAAGTTAAAGTCCAAAGCCAAAAAAGATATACCCATTAGGCTAAATAAGTAACGAGCCTCAATCCATGCCTTATTAACTTGCACTAGGATACCTCTTCAAAAAAAAACTATGATAAAATAATTTTCGATATCTAATTAAACATTAGAATGATTCTTGAATGGTCCTCTTTGATAATTCAGACCCAGTTACTTTTCTTAATTCTAAATGAGTTAGATTGATAACTCAGATCAGTGTTTTAAGGTAAGGATTGCAGTTGAGTCACACAACTTGACTTGGGAAAGTCTTAAAAATAACAATAAAACCTCGGGATCTAGTAAAACCCGGCTGGTTCCCAAGGTTCTTCTTCCAGACTCGGCAGGCTGCCGAGCCGGTGCCAAAGTAATTCAGCAGTGTCCAAGTCAGACTCACTGACTTTTTGGACACTGTTTCGGACTTAGTCTAGTGATTGATAACTGGTAAGAGTTGAGACCAATTACAGGAAACTGAAAAGATGAAAATGCACTGAAAATGAGGACAGTGGATGGAACTTTAAAAGAAAATATAATCAAATAAGGTGAAAGATAATCAGAAAAAAAAAAGGAAAAAGATTGGAAGCTGATGTATAAGAAAAAAAAATTAAAATTAGGAAACAAAATACAAGAAAAACAGAGAACAGTAAAATATGAGGAAAATCACCGAATAATATAAAATGACATTAGGACGAAATGTAAACAAAGAGGAAAGATGAACTTAATAATGAAATTAAATGAAATAATGAAACTACAATCAGGAAGGTGATACAAATAACAGAAATTCGGCCTAATCAAGAAAATCAAAAGGGAATAAAAACTGAATAAATTGGAAAAGAAAACAGAAAGAAAATAAAATAGTAGGACAATGAGCAGTAAGGCAAAATTCAGAATAACAGAGAAGAGCAAAAATTCAAATCAACTGAAAAATAAAATGAAAGAAAGCCTAAAAATAAGGAGAAAGATCGAAGAAATTTACCTACTGACTAGGGAATAAAATGATCTACCAATAAGCTAAGTAGAATTTGGGGAAAATAACAGTAAAAGGACCTGGTAAATGAACCACAAAATGTGGGAAAAATAAATCAAAAAAATATTTTGAAATATTAATAAAAAATTGAAAATCAGAAAAATCAAAGGAGACAGCAAAATTATCTAAGAATAATCGGTAAAAAAGAAACATATGAACAAAAATAAAATTAAACAAGTAATAACAGAAAAAAAAAAAAAAAACTGATACATAGAACTAATTAAGGCTAAGAGAGATCAAATAAAAACAACAAAAATAAGAGGAAAAATGACCTGATTCATGATATCAGGGTTTGCTTCAAGGGGAAGCCATCTTTTAGCAGAAGGCCTTTCGTCAAGATCCATTAAAGCACAGTTTTCTGCGCCTTTTTTTCACTGTCTCACAAATTTTTAGAGAGAGAGTAAATTTATCGACTCGAAGACAGTGAAAACAGGGGATTTCTCTGTCTAGATTTTGTTTTGGAAGGGAGGTGTTTTGGGAGGAAGGAAACGCAGCTTTTTGGGAAGGAAGAAACGCAGCTTCTCTCTCAAGTTTTGCCGAGGGAAATTGGATTTTAGGGAGGGAAAATGGTTTTCTGAATTGCTTTTTCGGAGGGAAGAAACGCAGCTTCTCTCTCAAGTTTTGCCGAGGGAAAATGGTTTTCTGAATTGTCGAGTGAAACAAATTTGAGGGAAAGAGGCGAATGGTATTTATAGGTGTCGATGAGTAGAGTACGGCCCAAATGGAGGTGGCAACGGGTCGCGTGGACGGAACCTAGAGCTTAATAGTACTTGGGTTCAGGTTTTGGACCTAACCCAACCAGTCTGTCCAAAAATTGAACCCATATAGATCGGGTCTCTGGTCTAATCGAGTACTTTGCCACCTTCACTATGAGTGTTTTTTTTTTTTTATCCATCTTGTTGCCATTATATACTAGTATTATTGGCAACAACATCCCAATCACCCGCCGTTAGATTTCAAGCCGTTTAATTTGTCTCTTAATAGCTAAAGATTACTGCAAGTATACGATCCTTAATACACCCAAACGAATAGGGCTTAAAGTAAAAGTATTTTATCTCCAACAGTTTATAAGTAATGGTTGAATACAGCTAGACTCAGACCCAGACCCAGACCCAGACCCGGACCCAAATAGTGTTCCGATCTAAGTTTTGGACCCGGATCCAACCCACCAGGTCCAAATGCTAAACCCATGTCGTGTATACCCGGCACGTCTCGAGATGGGTCTCGGTCCATTGCCACCTCTATGCTCAATATTATTTGCTATTGACAAAAATAACCTCCAAAGTTATCTACCATTGACGAAAATAACCTCCAATCAAGGTGAAATATCATTAGAATGATCCAACCATTCAATTATCTGCACAAATAAACTAATTATGTAAAGGGGGGTGATCAATTTCAATCGAAAATAAACCAATTATGGAAAGGGGCTAGGGCTGGGGTCGTCGTGGTAGCACCAATTCCAATTGAGATGAAATATCATTAGAATGGTCTAACAATTCACTTCTTTGCACAAATAAACCAATTATAGAAAGGGGCTGGACCGTGGTGGTAGCACTAATTATGAAAAGTTGATATATAGTGTATATTGTAACATATTATATAGATCGTCCATTTTCAAGATTTTCAAGTATTTATAGATATGTTCGATCATTAAATTTCATGCGTTTCACTCAAAATGGATTTTCTCACCACCCTTGGAATATTTTATGCCAAACTTATATCTTTCGATAAAATTTGGAAGTGTGCCTTACTTTGATTATTTATTATTGGCACTTTATTGAAAAACACCCTTACTTAAAAGTCATTATTCACTCAAGTAAACATGTTATTATATGGGAAACGTTTATATAAAGTGATGCTCTAAACAATCAAATTTGAGCCAACTTCAAAAATTTCACTATAAGACATTGTTTTGATGCCTAAATATCTTTGAATTGATCATCTTGACATCAAAATGCATGGACATGAGAAAAGTCGGATTTCAAGTTTTGTAAACAGTGTATTTTGGAATGTATTTTTTTACCGTAAATTTTCAAGATTTTCAAGTTTTTATAGATCTGTCGATCTACACTATTTTTAAAGCTTTGAATTTTATAAATAAATATAAAAATATATTTTAAGGGCATCACAAAGATTTCCAATATTGAAACTACATTTATTGACACCATTTGAAGGTAAGCTCTAATTTGATTGTTTAGAGCCTAGTACAAACTGCACCCTTGTTATATTGAGTGTATGGGGCTAGTAAAATATGTCGAGCAAAACAAAAATGAGTGGATGATGCTAGTAAGATATGTGTGTTTGGGTAGTTTGACTCGGGTGGCCTGGATAGGAATCCTAGGGTCCAAGGATTCGGGTTTGGTACGGGTATAGTAGGGTCTGGGTTCGGTGCGACAGAGTCAGGGCGTATAGTTCAATTATATGTCATCCAAAGTCAGGGAATTGACCCGACATTTATAAACAATGTCCCCCTTAATCACCATTAAAGTTTGGGGTCAATCTAGGATATTCAAAGCAATCGAGGATGATAGTATGCCTTTAGCACTAGCACTCTTGTTGCCTAGTCATTTATTACAGGAAGCATAGTATGCCGCTTATGCCACCCGTGATTTTACATCATGATGTGGTTTTGGGCGGCGGTGTGTCAGACGTGCAAACCACTCACATATATTATATAATTTGATTGTTTAGAGCCTTGGCTCTGTACAAACCGCACACATATATTATATAATAATATATAACATGAAAAACATATGTCATGACCCTGCCCCCTGACCCCTACCCTTCCCAACTGGAGGGCGACAAAGTGTGGGATCGCAACGTGATATAAATACGGAATCAAAGCAAACCATGAATTAAAATAAACTCATAACAAAGGGCCACAAAGATAAGCAAAACAAAGCCATTTATACGGATCCAACTTCAAATATTCTTTTACAAAAGGTTCAAGACACTATTGGCCCGTCAACAAAATACAATATACATCCATATGACATTGTGGCCCTGCCACCAGACACCAACAATTACAAGCTTCCTGGACAGAACTCGCGCGCTTCAAAATCCGCTGTCAAACTGTACTCTACATAGAAGAGGAAAGAGAGGCATGAGCTAAAAGCCCAGTAAGTAAATCAGTACCCTGCATTCATGCCTACAAGCTTATTAATAATGACATGGCCCACAGTTCATCAAACATCATACTGGCATCAGAAAGTAGAGTTACGCCTCAAAATACGTACACTAACATCATAAAATGAGTATTGTTCAGATGTCGGAGCATCGACTATTCCCTGAAATGGCAATTACCTTAATGCTTATCACAGTCACAGTCAGACAATCATACAGACAAAAACATAAAATAATTATTTATTCCCGAAGTATAAGTCACCTCGATCATGCAAAGTCAATCCTACAACTTGGAACTTCTACCCTCATTCGAGAGGGAGGACAATGACAAATAGAGGTCCCATTTCATATTGTCATCACTCGTACATACGATCCCCAACGCTCTTTGGGGTTTTAATAGGCTAAGGCCTTGCAAGACACGACCCTCTCCTTGTACCTTCAAGCGAGAGGGCGTTACACTACCATTGGAGGACCCAATGCGTGGTACCCATAACAAATTTGGGGGGCGTGACCCACCCTATTATTTACAGTTACCTTCCGACTCCACACCTATCATAGAAGTCGAGGAACATAATATCCACTACCAATGGAGGACCCATTACGTAGTGACCGAAAATCACATATAACAGAATTAGAACATCAACTACCAATGGAGGACCCATTGCATAGTGGTCATAAATCACATATATCAGAGTTCATATAACAGAATCAGAACATCCACTACCAATGGAGGACTCATTGCATAGTGGCTAGAAGTTACATATATTAGAGTTCATATAACAGAATCAGAACATTCACTACCAATGGAGGACCCATTGCGTAGTGGCCATAAATCACATATATCATGTATAGGCAGGCATCTCATTCATTCATTCACACTCTACTCTTTTAAAAAGGTCAGGAGCATTCAGTATTTATAGGATCACAATCATGCCATTTCGGTGTCTTATAACAAAAAACTTCAATCACCTTGCAAAAGGCTTACGCTATATTCAAAACATCGATGCAAGGCATGTGCATAGTTCATATACGATCATAAAATTCATTGTCATTCTTATCAATCAAGGGCATATATAGAATGAGACATAACATCCAAATTATGAGGGGAATTTAACAAAATTCTGATTCCCAATCATTAAATGAGCATTATATGATCAATTAAGGGTTCAGTATATCGTTCTGAATCGTGCTGAATTATACCAATAGGGACATGTGCTTATAATTCGAAACATAACTTGCAATTTATCAGAAATTTTAAAATAATTTGAACTTGCAACTTTAGTAGACAGTCAAAGCTTTCAAATGGCGGTGCTTTCGGAGAAATTGAACTTCATTTGGTAAGCCAAAGTTCGTGACAACAGAGACCAAATTTCTAATATTCTGTGAGATCTGTCAACAGTGAGATACTGAGATATTTTTTAGCATAGCTATTCATTTGTATGAAATTTGAGTAAGGTTAAAACAAGAAAGCCATAGAAGGCTCATACATCTATCAAATGGCTATGTTTTTGTGCCATTTGGACCACAAGAGGTTAGGCAAAGTTTCAACATAATAGAAGTAACAATTTTGGAATTTATCACAGTCGGCTAACAGTGACATATGAACACAAAATGAAGTCTTCCACACTAGCAACAATTTCAACTCAACATAAACATTAAATTCAAAGTAGACTCAAAGATCTTTCAAATGGTGGTGATTTGAGGCTAAAAGGATATCATTTGCTCAGTCAAAATCTCATTACGAAAACATGAAAACTTCTTAGAAAATCACAGTCCAGCCATGACACACCTCCCAAAATCATCTCCTAACTTTTAATCTATAGAAGGTAACAACATGAAACCAATTCTAGCTTAAACTAGACTCACAAGGGTATTAATCCACCGATTTTCATGCTCCACAAGAATGATAGCAGTGCCTAACAATTCATACCAAGAAAATCTAAATTCTTAGAAAAACAAAGCACAATGATATTCATGCTATCCTATTCTTTGTGCACAATTTCTACACCATCTCATGCCCAATCTCATGCTTAAATTCAAACTATCATTCATGCCTAAATCATGCTTCATACATGCTTAGATTCATACATCATTCATGCTTCAATACTTATGGGTCTGCAAGGTAGTGACCTACTTATCTTTTTGTGTCCCCAAAGGTGATCCCAAGTCCTTCCACAATCCCCTCCGCCAAGCTTCTCAATCTCTCCAACAGTGGCACGAAAGCTAAGCTTGGGCTCCCCAAAACATGAAGTATAGAGAGAGACTTATACTTTTTAAGGTGGGGAGGTGGCACTCAACGCTTGCCAAGTGACCCTTTAATGACCTGCAGTTTGCCAATTGGCGTGCCTGGCAGCATGCAGTGAACGGGTGGACGTCTTGCCTCATGCACGACATCAACTCCTCTCTTCTTCTTTCTCCCCTATCGCCGCGCGCGCGCACTTCCTCTCTTCCTCTTTTCTATCGCCATGACACACTCTATTCTTCTTCTTCTCTTCTATCGTCGCGCGCACATTCGCGTGACACTCTCTCATCTTCTTCTTCTCTATCGCCGT